CAGCCTATAAACCTTTCTAGGTAAATTTCATTAGTTCAGCCTGTTGGATAGATAAATTTTGATCATTAAATAGAAGTTTTATTAAATAGAAGTTTTATCTGGGACAATATTCCTTTAAGATTATACAAGAAAATGAAGGTTAAATGTTTTCTACATCCCATTCAAAAACCATTTGTATCATAAATGCATATACACTACTAACTGGTTCCTCGCATCCAGGAGTTCACATCCTATTTACAGACCCATTCACAAAAGAAATGTTAAGACACAGGGAAGAACTTCAGCATGAAGTTATCCAATTACTGGTATATACATTACTTTATCCATGTTTATTTCTTCAACTTTCTTATGGTATGATTGATGAATATAAATTGCATATAGTTAAAATACATAACATGATATCTTGGTCTGTGTATCATGAAATGATACCACAATCAAGACAACAAACATTTCCACCTTATCAGTGTTTAAACCAAGTAAAGAACACTTTGAATTGAGGAACACTTAGATATATGAAATGATGGAATATAAATTTCACTTTGATGGATTCTTTTCAATCCAGGTAAGTGAAAAAAAAAAAAAGAAAAAAAGAAAAAGAACGTAGTGTAGTAGTCAGCTCAGGCTATTATAACAACATACCATAAACTGAGTGACTCAAACAATAGGAATTTTTTTCTCACAGTCATAAAGGTTGAGAAGTCTAAGATCAAGGTACTCATTCAATTCCCTGGTGAAGGCCTACTTGCTTGCTTACAGATGGCCACCTTTTCCTCATGTACTCACATGGCACAAGCAAAGAGAGGAAGCAAACACTCTGGTATCCTTTCTGATGAGGGTACTAACCTAATAAATACATTCAAAAGCTTTTATTTAAAGATTGAGAAATACTAAAACATAGGTTTAACATGTAGGGAAAAAATATTCCCACTCAAATTTGCTGATATGAATCTTCTCAAAATTACCTACAAAAAATATTTTGAGGCATTATATTAAAAAGCACAATTATTATAAATTTATCTATACATCTGTTTTTTCTTTTACCTAAGATACAGAAAACAACTTTTAAAAATGAAATTTAGGGGCTGTGGTTGTGGCTCACAGGTAGAGAGCTCGCCTAACACATTTGAGGCACTGGGTTGAATCCTCAGCACCACATAAAAATAAATAACAAAAAAAGATATTGTGCCCAACTATAACTAATATATATATATAATATATATATATATATATATATCACATATAATTATATATAACACATATAATTATATATAACACATATAATTATATATATTAAAAAATTGAAATTTAGATTGGTGAATAGAGAGAATGGACATTAGGTTTATGGATATGAAAAAATGTTCCACATCCCTAGCAATTAGAGGAATGCAAATCAAAACTATACTGAGATTTCATCTTACTCCAGTCAGAATGGCAATTATCAAGAATACAATTAACAATAAATATTGGTGGGTATGTGGGGAAAATGTATACTCATACACATTGGGACCTTAACCGTTCTGGAAAGCAGTATGGAGAGTCCTTAGAAAACTTGGAATGGAACTACAATTTAACCCAGTTATCCTTCTCCTTGGCGTCCACCCAAAGTTCTTAAAATCAACATACTATGGTGACCTGACCACATCAATATTTATAGCTCAATTCACAAGCTATGGAACCAATCTAGGTGCTCTTTAACAAATGAATGGATAAATAAAATGTGATATATATACACAATGGAATATTTTAACTATACAGAATGAAATTATGGCATTTGCCAGCAAATGGATGGAACTGGAAACTAGCATGCTAAGTGAAATAGGCCAATCCCCAAAAAACGCACAGGCCTAATGTACTCTCTGATATGTGGATACTAACACACAATAGGGCATGGGGAGGGAAAAATAGATGTTCATTGGATGATAGAAAAGAGTGAGGATGGGAATAGGAAAGACAGTAGAATGAATCAGACATAACTTTCCTATGGTTATATATGAATACATGGCCAGTGTAACTCTATATCATGTATAACCACAAGAATGGGAAGTTATATTCTATATATTTATAACATGTCAAATACATTCTACTATTACGTATAACTAAAAAGAACAATTTTTAAAATGTCCTCTTACTAGAAGGAAGAAGAAAACAAATAGTTGAAATTACAGTTGTTACTTCAAAAAGATAGCAAAACCAGGTACCATAAAATGACTTACTACATTTTTATGCTTTTATTCCAAATCATTTGTAAGAAACTCAAAGTTCAAAGACTAATTCTTGAATAACCAATTATTTTTTAAGAAACAATTGGTTTCATAAATATAAAGTACAAGTATTCTACTGGATTTTATATCTTTTTATTGGGGTAAAACTGCCAATTTTATTATAGGAGAATCTTAACCTCTTACTGTTGAGGAAGAGCAGCTAAAGGGACTGGGATGAATATGAAGAAAAAGAAGAGTTGACTGAAACCAGGGTCTGACACATACTAGGTAAGCACTCTACCACCACTTACCTATACACACAACCTTTTTTTCTTTTAAGAAAAGCCCTTCCTAAGTTGTCCAGACTGGTCTTGAACTTGTGATTCTCCTAATTTAGCCTTCTCATAGCTGGTGTTACAGGCCTCTGCCAACGCACCTGGGGATTCATGTACTTTTGAGATTTCTCTGTACCAAACAACTTGTTATTGTTTAGAAGTTCTTATTCATCAAAGAAAGCACAATGTCTATATTTTTTTTTCTAATTAGAACCACACATATTTATTTTCTTCTTTTAAGGTCCATTATAGCCCTACATTTTCTTTTAAATTTTATCAGTTCTATAATTTATCTTAAATTTTTCATTTATTTCCATATGTTTATTATATTACTTGTCCAATGATATTTTCATATATAGACCACTCACTGAAGTGGGAAGCAGCCTTTTGTATGTCAATATTTAGAAATAAATGTAATGCTCATCTCCAGATATATAACATTGGCAAAGTAGTGTAAGTAAATATAAATTTAAATACAAGTCAATAATTTTGGCAGTGATCATTTTAGTCACTCTGTTGCCCCAAATCCTATTTTGATTTAGAAATTACATTGTCTCTACTTCCTGTTTAGATTGATTGGTGCAATCTCCACTAACCATAGGTGAACACTCATTGATACCTAAGAATACTTTCATTACTATTATTGATATATTTTTGATGGATTAATGTTTTTCTTTTATCCTTTCCTTCATTCTCTTCATCCCTCCCTCTCTTCCTTTTTCTTCCTTCCTTCTTTTCATAAAGTAAATATAGTTGTATATACCATCTGCCTGCCTCACAGTCATAGTAAAAATGGATTCTGTCTTTTATGAAAATACATATAAAATTAGATAGTTGCCATTAGCATATATCAAATAGATTGGCGATTTTATTGGATCTTCTGTTGCTTGATCAGTTATGTCTGCTTATCATAGCATTTTATATCACTCCATTCATTTGTCAGGACAAGAGTGTATTTAGGATTTGAGTGTTGTGTATAGAGGATATGCCAGCAGGCCTTTCCATTCAACACAGGCCAATGTTCTGTAAAGAATCCACTAGCTAATGATTCATCACAATAGCTACAAAAATTTCAGAAGATATTCTGCAAGGAATACAGCCTAATTTTATTGGAAGCAGTAAAAATGAGATACTACTAGATTTACAAATGTGGGAGTATGGTGAGGAGTGGTACCCACAAAAAGTAAAACAAAACACCCAGGGGATGAATGGCTCTAATGCCAATTTTTTTTTGTAGAAGAGGCACATCTTTCTTACCTTTCCACAGGCCCTCAAAATCCGAAATCTCTAAACCTGAGAGTTCATGATCTTTCCTTAATACAAATGTTTTCTCCTGCATTTTCTATATACACCAAAAGAACATATTCTTGGTTCCACAGGCCATGGAGAAGGCAGTTACTATCTGCAACAAGGTTTACAATGTCTGTTTTTAATGGAAACTAAGAATGGCATGATCTCCCATAAAACTACACTTACATTTTTTTTAAATTCTGAGATTACATCTTCCTTTCTTATTTCATGAAATGATTGTAACAGTTTGAGGTATTTTAGGATCTTACTTGATAAAACAAAATTTTTGAATAACTGTATTTTCTCCTAGTCACAATTTTATTTGTACCGTTCATACAAAAATGCAGATCTGTGAACCAGGGTTCTCATGTGTTATATATATATATATATATATATATATATATATATATATATATATATATTTGATGGACCTTTATTTTATTTATTTGTATGTGGTGCTGAGAATCGAACCCAGTGCGTCACGCATGCTAGGCAAACGCATTACCAATGAGCCACAACCCCAGCTCCTCTTGTGTATTCTTATTCATTTACTTGTTCCAGTGGTTTGGAGATTTTATTAAACCTAAGAATTACCTAGGACCTTGTTAAAATGTAATTCCTTCCCCCCATCTCCCCAAAGATATTCTGGCACCAATACCTAATTCTTACTTTACAATACTAGAGATACATTGTGGGTGAACATTATTAAAAACAAGGAAACTTATTCACTTGTTATGCACTTCTCCCCAGAAATTTTGAAACTTGCCAGATATTCAGTTTCTTCAATGAAAGGGGCACATCTTAAGTTTCATAGGTTTAAGGCTTGAGCAAATAAACCAATTATCACCTTATCTCCGTAAAGTTCCAAACAATTTACAAAGTGGATTTTCTGGTTGTTCAGAACTTGTAATTGTCTGTATGATCTGGAGTGCTACCTCTTCTTGCTCCAGAGTCTCAAGACAAGTGCTCAGGGCCATTCTGTTGAATGTTCTATTAAGCACAAGGATGGGTTTAACCGCTAAATTTTAAATGAAATGACAGCTTTTCAGTTTGCCTCATAGTTCTGTCCCATTACTTATTACTAGAAGTATTAGTTTTGATTTTGAGACTGCCATATAAAGAGCAAAGTAACCACTGGTGGTTGAGCTGGAGGGCAGGACTGGACGAGGCCGGCAGGTTCCTGCAGTGCCCAGGCCTGCACGGAAGCGCCCAGCAGAGGATACTCGCTTTTCCCCGCCCGGCCAGAGGGATGAACAGAAAGAGCTCCCCCGGGGCATTGTGTGTGAGCTGGGCCCAGAGATAGCAGGCCCAGGGGGGTAGCTCCGCCGCGGGAAACAGGACACGCCTCAACCAGGGCAAATTCCCGGCCTCTTCTGGCCACAAGCCAGCAGTCGCTGCTCGCCACCTCTCTTCTCTGCTGTCGCCGGACCGCCCCGCCGGGTCCCGAACTCGTCCGCGCCTTGGCTCGCGGCCCCCGGGCCCTGGGTGCTGGCGGCGCGGTTAGGACCGGACGGATGTGGCGCATGCGTGGTGGCGCCACCCGGCGCGGGAGCTGTGGCTGCGGGGACATAGATGGGCCAGGCCGCCCGGGCCGGGTTCCGCAGCGTGGCGGAGGCGACGGGAGTTGGCGAGGCCGTGCGGGTGGCGCCCGACAGCAGCTGGAGGAGCGTTTCGCGGACCTGGCAGCGAGCCACCTGGAGGCCATCCGCGCGAGGGACGAGCGGGACCGGCAGAACGCGAGGCTGCGCGAGGAGAACGCCCGGCTGCGGCTCGAGAACCGGCGGCTGAAGCGCGAGAACCGCAGCCTCTTCCGTCAGGCTTTGCGGCTCCAGGGGGAGGGCGGCGACCGGATGGCCGCAGAGGCGGCCCTGGGTCCCCCGGAGGCTGGCACGAACCGGAGGGAGAGAGGTAGTCGCCGTGAGGAAGAACCAGGCAGCCCCAGGGCCCTGAGGGCCCGGCTGGAGAAGCTGGAGGCCATGTACCGCAGGGCCCTGCTGCAGCTGCACCTCGAACAGCAAGGGCCACGCCCGCGTGCGGACAAGGAGGAGCCGCCTGTGCAGGAGCCCGACTCTAGCCTCTGTTCCCGGGGCCCGGCGCCCCCAGGGCCCTGGCTGTAGCCTCGGGCCTCAGCCGGGAGAGGCGGGGCGTCCCTAGAGCCCCTCCTTCTGCGCTCGCTGCTTCCCCACCCTGCACTGCTGGACCACTGAGCTCAGTGCCTCCAGCCCACCACCTGACACTTCCGGTGGCGCCCTGCCTCTGCCCGCGGGGTCCTGCCAGTGTCTGGGCTCTGGAGCCCCCATGTGTGTGGGCACCTGCTTCTTGGCCCTGCTGGTTCCACCGGAAGAGGCCCTGCAACAGAAGCGCGGGTTTTGAAACAGCAAGAACTGGTTCCTGGAAGTTCTTCCTAATTCATGAACCTTTCTATGTGTATTTTTTGTTTCTCAATAATAATTCTTTGAGGGCTGAATAATGCATCTTGAGTTGGTCGAATTTGATGTTCTTTCTTTAATCCACTAAAGCCGCCAGTTATTATTTCTTGTGTGGCCAATACTTTTGAGTGTGTGTTTTTATAAATAGGTATTCAATGGGTATCCCACGAAGTATTACCTTTTTATAAAGAAGAAGATGATATTTATGACTTAGAAATTCTTGTCTGCCCCTGACTTAGTCCGCATACATTTAATATATACTGATTTGTTTCACCCCAGAGAATTTTTAAGTATATTCCTATAGGTAATCCTTTGAACTGGTAAATAAAAGTAGTCCATTAAAAATAATCTAAAAGCTTCCCATGACTATTATTTGAAGTGTGTTAAAATTTTATATGTGTCTTTAAGAGATGTATAGCTTCCCTATTTTAATATCTAGATTTGGTTATCCTTTGTAAGGTTTTTTTTTGTTTGTTTGTTTGTTTTTTTACTTTATGTAACTGATCTTTTAAAATAATGTAAAGATTAGTTCATCTAAGCATTTTTCATTATTGCATTAATATTAGAGGTTGACCAATGTGTAGCTAATTTGTATTATTTTAACTGTTTAACAGCTTTTAAGAAATTGTAAGTTACTTGTACATCAAAAACACCCAAGTGGAATCATTTTGGTTTTCATCATGGTTTTTGTAGTGGCCAGGAAAAAGAGATTAATAACAAAACGTTCTAAGATCACTTTTTTTTGCATTTTGTTCATGAATAACACTTTGGCCTACTAAGTAGTGAAGAGGATAACTTTGTACCTGATAAAAACTATAGAGGCAAAAAGTGTGACCTCTTTTTTCACCCATCGTAAAGGTCATGGTCAATACTTCTATAATTAAATACAGGCTAACAAGAAAAAAAACATGGCAAATTTATCCAATCTAAATTTTAGGTAACACAAGAGCCTTTGGAAATTAAAATTAAAAACTCAGTGAAACCTGTGTTTATGACTAGATGGGAGGAATGGACATCCCTGTAGAATTATGATTTCATGAAAAGTGTATGACCTATTGGTTATAGCCTGGAAAGACCTGTATGGTATCTTGGCTTCTCTATATGGCATTCTTTCCTTGGGCTTAAGGACAAGACCCCTTCTAGAGTTAAGAGTCTCTTGACCTACTATCAGACAAAACAGATCAGAGAATTTCTTTATGGCCTGCTCCTGAGCAGAAAAGGATGAGAAAGTTTGAAAATATATCTACATTTTGTAATTGAGGTAAAGCTGTTCTAGTTTCTATGAGCTGCCTTGGGAAAAGCAAGTTCTACTTTGAATAACCTGCCAGGAAGAGAGCAGCAAACAGGGAAAGAAACATAGGAAAAAATTCAGAGACCACTTCTTCCAGGGCCCTCTAGTTCACAAATTACTAAGCATGATAAAGCATCATACTTTGGAGTATTGTTTTCTGAGCCTCATGGATTTAAGAGTATTTAAGTAATGAAAAGCATCAGGGAAAATCAAATGATGAGTAGAGCTGGTTACTACATATGGCATAGAGTATGTGCTACACATGGCATAGCCCAAAAGTTCAGAGTATTTATTGCAATGCAAATAATTATTACAAACCAACGTGCAATGGAAACTCATTTTTGTTATTCTTCTACTTTGAAGTATTGAAAACACTTTCCATTTTGCTTATAGATGATTGATACTCAGTTTTGAATATTTAAATTGTCCCTATGGCCAAAATATAGAAGCAACTTGGCAAGAAAAGGTAAGTATATGAAAATTAATCCTATGCCCCTTTACTTCATTTTCTAACTGGGAAACAAAGTAAAATATTTTTAGAAGACAGTTTATTTACCCTACTGCTATTTAATTGTAAATTAGGGTTAAATTTGTTAATTTCTTTAAGCTTTAGTTTTCTCATTAGTAAAAGGACTATAGCATCTACCTCAAAATGTAAAAATTTTATTGAGATAAGCAAAATGCCTGCTTCAATTTAAGTGCTCAATTGGTGAGACTTGCAGTTTAAAGCACGAAAATTGAAAATGCATATTTTGCTTAACATTTTGTATTGCATTCTCGATTTTGCTTGTATATGACTTTATGAGTATTATCAGACATGTAAATTTTGACTATGTTGACATTTTTCCTTCCTCATAAGCAAACAGGAGAGATAAAACCTTATAAAATAAGGGGTAATTTAATATAATGTTCAAAAATATTTGCCACTTGTTACAAAATTGTGAATATTCAACAACTAAACAAAGTAGTTGGTTGTATAGTCTTAAATACTTTGTCTAAAAATTGTTTACAACGTAAGTCTGATTGAATATTAAATTTGTTAAATTTACTGGTGAAAAAAATTTTGTAAAGCATTGAAGTGCACCCTCACAGAGATTACTTTTGAGCTTAATTCCGTAACGGCATTAAAAATTCTGAGGGGAATTGCCATAGAAGGTGCATCAAGGCTAATATATATTTCAAATTTGATGATGTTTTCCAGGGTAACCAATAAAGTCATATGAAAAATGTTTTGTTATATTAAAGTATGTTATTAGAAAGTTTAGTCTAGGATCAGTTTGATCTAAAACTAAAACTGTAGTTTGCCATTTTCATAATTTCAGATCAGTTTTTCAATAAGACAGTTTACAATTTTTATAAATAAAATCCAAAAATATGTGTCTTAGCAAACAAATTCAATGAGAAGAATTGGCATTTTACATAGCATTTTTATAGCTGCTACTCACAAAAAGTATTTATCTTTTCCTTTATAAAAGTTAGGATATGAATCAAAGGAATAAAAATAAGTACTTATATAGCTCATAGAAGAAATGGCCCTTGCTAAACTTCTTAAGTATTATAAATATTTGAAAAATATTTGAAAACATTTGGTCTTCTTTAAATACTCTCACATAATATTGCCAATTCATAAATATTCCAGAATGAAACTAACACCCAATTATTTAATAAATTGAATTAATAATATATACTAACAAATGTTAGCAGCATGATCTTGATTCCAGTGTCAAAGACTATTTTCTGTTTTGCTAAAGGGAATAAATTTTACTGAGAATTTGTTACAAAATCTTCAGAAAACCTTCATGAATGACATAATTTATTTATACTTCTATTTAGTGATAAATTAACTACAAATTCTGTTTTTCCTACTATAATTTTATTTTCATCTACCTGTCTTGTCTGCTATAGATAGTATACACATCTATTTATACAACAAAAATGTTTAATATCAAGGAAAACATTTTAATTATATGTATAACTGACTATTAGAATTAACCATTGCTAAAATTTCAAATTTTAAGGCCTAAGTTACGTTTATTCTATCTCAATGATCAGAATTAAACTATATCTTGAGATATTTAATTCTTGATCAGAATTAAATTATATGTGTTTAATCCATTACAGATATTATGTATTATGAAATTCATATTCAGAATCTATTTATTTCCCAGTATATAGTTTGTATAGTTTGGATACCAAGGTTTAGACTCTGGAAGTTGGTCTCCACTATGGTGGCATTAATAGGTGGTAGAACCTTTAAGAAGTGGAGCATAATAGAAGGTGATTGGGTCATCAGAGTCATATCCTCCAAAGGGCATATATTAACTAGTGACTTTATAATTGTTCCTAATTTTTTTATTTGCACTAAGTTCCTGGAATATCAAATAGAAAGATACTGAAATTCAAAAATTAAAGATGCGCACATGCCCGTGCATGCACATAAATGTATATACACATAGATAGGTGAATTTTCAATGTAGTATCCATTTCCTTTGATGTAAGTGACATTGTATATTTTAAAAACTTTTAAAAAGTCATTTATGTATATGAACAGGTATTTTTGTTTGAATATGTATAACTTTTAAAATAGAAATATAATGTGTTTGCTTTATAGATTGAAAAAAATTGGCATTTTCATTCCCATATGTACTACCCATATGGGTATAAACTCTAAGACATTGCTTAAAATAAATAAGGAAATATATCTACTAAATTTTGTAGAGGGCATTCCTATAATTATAAACCATCTCTGAAAATTGTATGTCATTAAAATATGGTTTTAATAGCCTCTACTTAGTAAACATTATTCTATTTCATATGTAAATCTAAATGTATAACTTGAGGGGGAAATGATTTCTGTTCATCTTATTTTTAATGGACTAAAATTCTGTAATTTTAGAGCTGAAAGAGTTCTTAGAGGGTTTTACCTGTGTCCTTCAGAAATTTTTGTTAACAAGTTAACTTTCAAGGGATCTACATTTTACATGGTACTCTACTAATGGTCAGATTTCATCTTATCCAAATTTAGCATGCAGTTTTCTTTATTCAAGCTTTCTCTAGAATACAGTGCTGCTGGGAAGTGTGCTGTGACAGTTTTCAAGAATTTTTAATGAGAGTTAATTTGAATGCTCAAGTTCTAAAATATTAATGATGTTCAAGAGAACTCTTTAGCTCTAAAATTTAGACTTTTGTCTTCTGAATTGAAGAATTAATTAATGTTCTACCTTAAATATAATTCAAATTTTAATAAATATAATGATATAAAGAAGACTTTGATGTATACATTTGCTCTTTTACATATGTAAATGCCTATTGAGGCTTGAATTTCTCAGTGTGACTAAAAGTCTTAATATGCTGAATAATTAAATAGTATAGCTTATATTTATTTCTCATATTTTTCTCAGTATCATTTTGTTAAACATAATTTCTCTAATCATAACTGATTTCTCGTGTTCATTTTCATTGTGTTCCCAGATTAAATGTGTGTTTCAAAAGTTTCAAGAGCATTATTGGATGATGGAAGAATACTATTATAATCTTATTATAGTTATAATTAAAAATATTAGTTTAAATAAACTGTAATTATCTTGTTAATATTGATAATCCTATTTTCTATTGCTGTTTATTCTGTTTCTTCACATTTTGATCTATGTTCTTCAAGACAACATGGAAATAAAAGGCAAAGGCTTACAGAAAGATGAGGACAGAAACAAGTAGTTGAAGAAAGTTGGTTCAGAATAGAACGGAGATGATAATATAGGTCAACATAATGCCTACTTTTCATATAATCCTCACATCTCAGAAAGAGAGAGCTTTAGCCACTAATCCTGTTCATGAGGTCTTCCCATTTGTGGACCAATTACCTCTCAAATGCCTCACCTCCCAATTCCAGCATATTGGGATTAGGATTTCAACATATAAACTTTGAGAGGAACATAAACATCCAGTCCATTACATAGAATGTAGGCAGATATTTGGGCAGGAACTGGGTTTGCTGGCATAGGAATCATTTAGATCTTTTTTTTTTTTTTAACTCCAAAATATTTTTAGTGAAATGCTATATTAATCTCCCCATTAAGATACTAACATATATGCAATATGTTTGCACTATTTTCTTTGTATGACTCAGCTAAGAAAACATTTGAATCCACCTCTGTCAACTGTCCATGTAAAACTTTTATCCCCATATCTTTAACCCTGTATCAACAGATTTCAAAAAGATGGTAAACTAAAGGAAGAGTGCACTTCCCAGCAGTTACTTAGCACCAAACTTAAAAAAGTGGAAATGCTATTCCTTAGCAATGTAGGTAACTAAGGGAACTCACTGAAATTGAAAACTAGACAGTAAAAGAAACGATACAGACACAGACCCTCAGAAACTTTGAACATAAAATAAGATATAATATGTTAGAGATGGCACCTGCTTGGCTAGGAGCAGCAATAGCAGAAGCACAGGCAAGAGGCAAAAGTATGGCAGAAAAAGGAAAAAAAAAAGTCCTTGAGGAACTGTGGACTAGAGAGGGAGGCTGATCTTTATGGACCCAGAGGCAGTGGGGGAGGTTGTTGAGTGAAAAAGCAACCAAAATTGCTTGGCCTGTGGGCAGATAGTTGGGCAGGAACTGGGTTTGCTGGCATAGGAATCATTTATCAATGCTGTGAGGCTACCATCAGAGACAGGAGTTTGGGAACTCATAAAGGAAGTTGCTAGCAGACCCATCAGTACCTTAGTATGAGCCCCAGAGTCTTCCTGGACCATAGTGACTGAGATAGGTGTAAAGAAAACTGTGCTGAGTGCATACAGCCACATCCCTTGGTTCCTGGTGCTCCAGACATCCCACAGAGATCAACGTCTCCTTGTCAACAGGGGCATGTATTAAATATCAAAAAAACCAAAGACAGAGTTTCAAGGGTCAACTAAGACCAAACCCCAGCTGCTGCAGCTTTCAATTTAGAAGTCTGCACCAACCACACTACAAGAATATACAATTTGTCAGCATTTACTAGTCTATCCCAGCCTATACTAGGAGATGGGAAGCTGAGAGTTTCTACAATCAGCATTGGCTCTTAGACACAATGACTGGCAGCTAGGTGAGGAACACATGAATTTAACAATCCTTAGTCCTTCACCCAAGGGTTATAGACCCCAGAAATAAATACAAAAAATGAAAATTTATTCTTGTCACCAGTTTTGACCCACTCAGCATAAACGTTTGTTTTTTTGTTTGTTTTCCTTAAGTGTTTCTACCTCCCCATATGTATCCCTATTTTTTTTTACTTTTTTCTTTAATCTTTAAAAATTCTTTAAAATCATTTTATCATATTTTCTTATTTTTTAACTTTTTAAAAACATTCTGTAAGATTGTGTGTATGTGTGTGTGTGTCCCACTGTACCGATAGGTTCAAATATATGTTACTATAATTTTACTTTCATTTTAGTTACTTTCTTCTTCACTTGTTAATTGTTTAGCTTTGCTTTGAGTAGGTGGTACATAATTATATGTAGATCTGTGTTATTTTGATCTTACATTTGTTTGTACCTTGTTTTTTGTCCCTCTTATTGCTGCTTCTTCACTTTTGACATCCACTAATACTCAAAATTTCCTGTTCCCTCTTCTCCTGCTTTTTTAAAAATTACATTTTGTAATTTTTGTATTCTTCCTCCTATAGCTGTCATCACTACCTTTCATCTGTTCACTTTTCAAATATTTCAGATGTTCTCTTGCCTTCCTACCCCTCTATATTCCCTTCACTTAAGAAACGATACTCCCATTAAAATAATTATATTGTATATGTAATTTCTATCCCATCCCATTCATGTTTCTGTGATTATTAATACAGTGGGTGATGTAAAAGATACCTGTTCTTTATGCCTAATCTATTTCATGAATTTTATTATTAGTGCTTATGTTAAGTACTGACTCCATTATTCCTACATAGGTGACAATTAGTGTAACAGATATCAAGTTAGAAAACAGAGACTGTACATCTGTTGCGAATATTATTGTTATTCCTGGCTTCCACCCTCCTCTAAGAATGGATGGAAAGTGATTGGAACACTTTAAGTTGCCAAATAGGTGTCCTGATGAAAACATATACAAAACTCAGGCAAATAACAGCAAATCTCATCCAATGCATTACTTGGCCCTACCTTAGCCTTAGTAATACTTCAACACATTTAACTTGGAGACAGCAACCTATAATCAACAATCAGGCCCCATGGAGTAATAACAACAGAGGGACCTCAGTCTGCACTCCTAGATGTATTCCACTCCTGGAATATGGGGGAGAAAGAGAGATGTCCTGGACATCTGAACTTCCTGAAAAGTTCCAGAACAAAAAAGGTAATTATACACAAAAGGACAAATGTATAAAAGAGGAAGGGAAATTTATACCAATTTATGTGCAAGTCCAAGACCTCTGAATACATGATGATATAGGCAAACAAATCTCCCCCCAAAATTGACAATACCCCAACAAAGGATTTCACAGCTATGGAATTAGATGAAATTCCAGAGAAAGACTATAAAAAACTGATTCTTAAAATGTTTGATGAACTCAAAGAAGATCTAAGGGATGAATTAAGAGAGAAAATACAGGAGATAAAAAACCATTTCAATAAAGAAATGGAAATAATGAAAATAAACAAATCAGAACTCCTGCAAATGAAAGACAAAAGGAATCAAATCAAAAATTCACTTGAAAGTGTAGAAAAATTCACTTGAAAATGTGTAGAAAAAAAAAAGAATGTCAGGCCATAAAGACAGAACTTTAGGTCTTGGACACAGGGTATATGAACTTGAATACCCAACTATAGAGTAAAGGAAAAAAAAAGTAAAAGATCATGATCAGAATTCTGGGATAGCATCAAGAGGGCAAACTTAAGAGTCATTGGAATATAGGATAATATGGAGATACAAATTAAAGGCATTAAGAGCAACTTATATGGAACAGTAACAGAATTCCCCCCCCCCATATTAGAAATGAGAAAGACAACAAAATATAGGAGGCTTATAAGACACTAAATAGAAAATATCAGAATAGAACCTCTCCAAGGTGCATCATAATCAAAATTCCTAACATAGAAAATAGGAAAGAATATTAAAAGCTATTAGAGAAAAACATCAGGTTTCATTTACAGGCAAACCAGTAAAGTTTATTTCTGACTTCTCATCTTAGACCCTAAAATCAAGGAGGAATTAGAATGAAATATTGCAATATCTAAAAGAAATAATTGTCAACCAAAATAGCAATATCCAGCAAAGTTATCTTTCAAAATAGATGAAGAAATAAACATGTTCTCTGACAAAGCTAAACTACTAGAGTTTTTGATCACTAAGCTATCACTACAAAGAATATTCAAAGATATATTTCTATTCAAAAAAAATGCCAAATCTACCAAACTGATGAAGACCACTAAAAGAGCAATCACTTAAATGAAAATCAAGTCAGAATTAAACAAATCAAAATGGCATGGCACAACACACGCATATGTATAATGACATTGAATTTAAATGCTCTCAACTTTCCAATTAAGAAATTGATTAGCAGACTAGATTTGAAAAACAAAATCCAACTATGTACTCTTTGCAAGAAACTCATCTCATAGGCAAAAATACACACTTGCTGAAAGTAGAAGGATGGAAAAAAATATTTCATACAAATGGAGTTTTCAAAACAAGCAAGAGTAACTATTCTCATGTCAGACAAAGCAGATTTTAAGCAAAATTTAATCAGAAGAGACAAAAATGCCATTATTTATTAATAAAGGGAACAATACAACAAGAAGACTTAATAATATGTAATACATTAGCCCCAAATGTTAATGCATTTAAAAATTCTTCCTAACATTAAATCCAAGATAGATCCCAATATAATAATACTGAGTGATTTCAACACACTCTTACCATCAATAGACAGGTCATCCAAACATAAAATCAATAAAGATATCCCCAACCTAAATGATACTACAAATCAAGCAGACCTAATATACATCTACAAAATATTTAATACCAAAACACCTAAACTCACCTTCTCAGCAGCTCAGAAAAGTATTCTAAAGTAGATGATGTTTTAGATCACAATATAAGTCTTATCAAATGCAAAGAACCTGAAATAATCCCATGCATCCTATCAGATCATACTGAAATGAAGATAGAAATCAGTAGCAAGAAACATAATAAGAACCATATATGCACATGGATATTGAAAAATACTCTTTTAAGTGAAGAATGGACCATAGAAGAAATGAGAGAAAAAAAATAAATTCTTAGAAACAAATGAAAACAGAGATACAACATATCAAAATCTCTGTGACCATATGAAAGCAGTTCTAAGAAGAAACTTAATAGCATTTAGTACCTACATTAAACAATAGATTCCAAATAAATAAGCTATGTTGCATTTCAAGACCTAAGAAAAGGAAAAACAAACTAATTCCAAAATCAGTAGGAAACAGGAATCAATTAAAATCACAGCCACAATTCATGAAATTGAGAATAAAAAAATAGAAAGAGGTGTTTCTTTGAGTAGATAAATATGATTGATAAACCCTTAGTCAAACTAACCAAAAGAAAGAGAGGACCCAAATAAACAAAAAGGAGAAA